AGGGTTCTCCAAAGATGCAGAACTAATAGAATGAATATATAAATGTATAGAGATTTATCAGCTTAGTTCACAGGACAGAGTCTGAGTAGTCCAACAACGGCTGCACCACACTGGAGAGGCTGACATAAGATTAAAGCCCAGCAAATACAACGTCAACTGCCTGGAATGGAAACTAAATGCAATAGGTCCCTACAGCAAAGAATATAATCACCAGAGTTAAAAGGAAATCAATAAAATATATAATATATAAACCATATAACTGATCACTTTTTAAAATTCTTCACTGTACAGATTAAAGCAGGTCTTTGCGAGTAGTTTGAAAGCACTCTACCACTGTGACTCATTTCTAGCATGGCAACCCATCAATCTAATACAAGATCAGTATAGACAGGTTATAAGTTACTATTAAAACTCACTAAAAAGAAGTATAATTCTCAAATGGGCAATTAGTGCAAATATTTCTTTACTTCAAAGGAGAAAAGGGTCAAGAGTTTTGTGAATAGCTATTTAATATCACAAAATATCAAGGAAATGGAGACACACCTAAGAATTTTAAACACTGAGCCAAAGACACTATTCTTTCAACAACCAGCAGGTAGCACTTTATTCCAGGAACATTTACTTTTTTATTATGCAGCATAATGTTATTGTTGCTAATTGCCAAACAGAAGAGAAATGAGGGCAAGTCCCTCTGGGGCATCTCCTATGGGTTTTCACTGTACTTGAATAGGTGGATATAAACATTCCGACTCAGAGATATTCACAGTGTGTTCAAAGCTCATGTGCTGTTATTCATGTAAGAGAAAACTGCAGAATATATGAAGGACACCTTGGGACCTACAATGTAAAACATCAAGGTCAACTATATTTTTTTGATGTTAGACACTTTATTTATTAAACACTTTGGTTCTTGACTATTGTGTGTGACTCTAATGCACTCATCAAACTCTTGTTTAATCAGATAATGCCTAGGAATAAAAATAAGTGTTTCCTCAATAAATAGCTAATACTCTAATATAGTCAGGTAATTAACAGTTCTTTTTAAAGGGTGTATGATTTTGTTTTCCTGATGAATAAGTATTCAGTGTAAGAACTAACATGAATGTACTGAAAATACAAACATGTTTTAATATTTGATATATTAAACTATCATGGGGACTGTCTTTTGATACAAAGAAAATATAATCTATAATATTTTATAATCTGCATTACATCAGTTACTTCTTAGTAACTTGTTTCATAAAAATTATGTAAATATTTACCCAGTTTTGATGTTTTAAAGTCACGTAAATTATAAGGATCCATGTCTTGCTATAATTCAATGAGAAATCCAGTTGCAAACTTAATCAACTGCAGAAATGAAAAAAACAATGGGAAGCAGTGAAGTGTGCGGTGCTCTTAGAGACTTTGCACAGAGTCCTGGCTCCAGCAGTCTTTACCTCTCAGGGTTGCTAATAGTGAAATTGCATAATGTGCACAAGTGTTCATACCTGAAGGAAGTATTTCATAAATAAGTTTTCCTGTTCTTCATGGCAGAATTCATGGCTCACTACAAAACTAAGGACTTTTGGAGGTTCCCGTTTTCTAGTACAATTAGATTCATAGAACATAGAGTTTAATGTTATGTTATTCAGTTTTCATGAGTTATAGATAATGTATCTCTCAATCCTTTGACAATATGCGGCAGCAATTAATTCACTGTATAGCAACTGGATGAAATACTGTTTCAAGATAGTGTGAGATAAAATACTTAATTTTTAGAAAATGCTTATTTACTCTATAATGTAGAATTTGGAATTGTTATACTTTGAGTATTTTTATCTAAAGAGCACACATTGAACAGGATATTTATTGTATAGAAAAATACTTTGTTAGAATTTTATACCAAATATTTCATTAAATACACACATGTATAATTTTAGGTCAAATGAAGGCCCCGTATGAGAGGAGATGAATCATAAGAAAGAGAAAATGTCTTATTTAAGGAAAAGGTCTGAAAACATAGGTAATAAATCTCTCATTCTAGTGTCCTTTTCATCCTCATTTATTTTTGTTTATAGGTTTGCTAGTTTCTCTATAAAAACGACCTTAAAAGCAAAAGAGAAGTGTACTTGGGATGAGGATGATAATCAGCCCTAAAGCAACAAGGGCACAAGTGGGATTTGCAGGGGAAAGAGAATCAAGTTGAACCAATAATAATGACACACACACACACACGCATATATATATATATATATATATATATAATACCATAACTAATCCCATCAGTTTACATGTTAAACAAAAATGTTAACTTCAGATAATAACCTGTAACAATTCCTTGATTAAGTGTACAGATGAGATTAGTTGATCTTTCAAAGAAATATGATCAACTTTAGTGTGTATGTTTGTGTGTGTACATGTTTACTTGTACAGCAGCACATGTGTGGAGGTTCACAGACAACTTTCAGGAATAAATTTTTTCCTTCAACTATGAGGGTCCTGGAAAGCAGACTCTGGACATATGTTTAGCAGCAAGTACCCTTACCCTCTGAGTCTTCACATGGCCCACCCACTTCCTGATAATTAGGTGAGGGAAAAACAGTTTGCATCTCACACTAGTTGTGAAGTGCATTACTTGAGAATCAGAAGATATTTAATTATTGTTTTGTTACAATGGTGATTTTCTCCCTTTTGAGCTAGTTCCCTTAAATATTCTATTAGTATAGATTTAAAAAACTAGGATATTAACATTCAGTGGACATACTAAATTCAAAAAATAGATTTTTTCCCCCATGGAGTTCTAAAGTTATTCAGAGGAAATACTTTTTGTTATTCTTTACTTGAGGAAAATTGATGCTCTTTGTGCTTTAATTTTTAATATTTTGACCCTGACAACAAACCAATACAAGGGAGTACAGATGGTTTTCTGGGAGTATTTCTCTAATATTATAATCTTATTTTTCATAATTATATTAGAAAAGTGGATTTTATCAAATGATCACACAATGTGCAGGAAAGGAGAATATCAGGTAGATATGCATTATAAGCCACACTTTATAAACAGCATTTTAAGGGAACCAACTACATGTGACATGTAAGTACCTGCACTGCGAATGTTGGAAAGATGTGGGTTCATTGTGTTCATTCAAAGACTACTGTGTCTCCCTTTCTAACTATATTGTGCTTCATTTTAGTGCTAATTTCATGCAGAAAACATTGACACATTTTTTTTTCAAATCAGTAATTACTCTCTTATAATTTCCACTCTGCTGTATTGGAAGATTTCAGATATATATTTTCTTTGATTATAGGAATTTATTGCATTGTGTTCTACATCATAGAGGGAGGATGGTTTTGTACACTAACTGACCAGAAATATTTTAAGTCACAGCAAACAGTGCAAATGTCATCCTATTGAATTTTGGGTTTTATTTATGGCATTCTGTATCACATTTAAAGTTTTATACAATATAAAGCATTAACATTTATTGTAAAACTTTTCAAGTATGTTTCCCCTTTAAATATCTTTGTCAAGGAAGATTTTCAAGAATCTATTGTATAAGTCAATTAGCAAACTCTTAATCTTCTTAGACTTCCTCTTATTTTTATAGGTTCATGTGTGAACATGCATATGACTTTTACAATCCTACCTCTCATTTATAATAAAATAACTTCTCATGGAAAGATTAAATAAAACAAATGAGACTCACTTCAAAGTTTTATTAATATAGTGACATAACAAAGAAGCAATCTAATATTAGAGCATCTTGTTAAATTTTATTCTTTGATGGTAGAGGTAGGTAGTGGGATTTGGTAGATTGTGGGACTGGGCATATTGTGGGATCGTACCACATTTTAATAATCTGTAACTCATTTAGTCATTTCTTTGATATAACCAAGAAACTGAGTCCATATACAGTAACATCTACACATATTTATGCAAGTAAAACAACTTTTTCGTAAGTTACTATAATCAGTTATTTTCAAAAAATATATAGGAGTACCTTTATGAACAGTACTCAGGTAGCATAGACTCCTTGGATCACATAGAATTTCTTCAGCATTATCACAATTCTATAAAAATCTATTGCTTTTGTCTATTCCAAGAAATTTTTTAAAGGTGATTTTACTGACCTTAAATTATTTTTCCAAATGAACAATTTTGCAATAGGTTAAAGAATAAGAGCATTATAGAGAAATTCATATGTCTTGTTTTGTTTCTTCAAATAAAGACAATTCCATGTGTGATGTATGGAAAATTTTCCCTCATGCGTCTCACCAATATTGTCTAAGTATCACAACAATTCTAACTGCCCTAACAATGGATATGAGAATTTGACAGATCTACACATGAAACTGAGAGTTGCCTGAACATTTGAAATTTTTCAGTAGGTATGTAGTATAGTTGGAATCTCTCTTACATTATATTACAAAACATAATTATCAAATGTCACAATGTGATTATAATTACATCAGAAATTAAAAGTTAAAATAGGCAATGACTTTTAGCCATTTAAATGGAATTCAAAATTTCTCCAGTTTTAACATTTATCTTGTTTTATATATCTAGGAGAAGAACATTAAAATTTGAGTATGGATATTATTTGTGTTAGATATTTGATATAAGAATATGTTCTCCAGAATAATTAGAATCTAACCATTGGCTGACAGTGAATAGTTCACTTCCCACTTGAGAATACCAAATATCATTGGTAATGAATATTACTATTCTGTAATGAAAATAACACTGGTTTAGAATTACAGATTTATGTGTATGTATCACTATTGGTAGTCATGCATTTTCATATGTATGTATGTATGTATATATGCATGCATATATGCATATTTGTCTTTTAGGAAAAGATGGAGTTATATTCAAGAATTTTAAATTAAGAGGTTTGAACACCATTTATATTGGCCTGAAATTTATTTTTTTTTAAATCATTCAAGTGCAAATATTTGAACTATATTGATGCTTTCAATGTCTTTATCCAGAACAGGTATTCTGATAAGCCCAGATGGAGAAATATAACCTCACAGTGGTGACTGAATTCATCCTGATGGGCATCACTAATCGCCCTGAGCTTCAGCCCCCATTATTTGTGCTGTTCCTCATCATTTATCTGACCTCACTGGTGGGAAACTTGGGAATGATCATCCTCACCATGGTGGACCCCAGGCTTCAAACACCCATGTACTTTTTTCTCAGACACCTGGCTATTACAGATCTTGGCTATTCTACAGATGTGGGACCCAAAATGTTAGAAAATTTCATTACGGAACAAAATACAATATCCTTTAACCTTTGTGCTACCCAACTAGCCTTCTTTCTTTTCTTTATTGCTTGTGAACTTCTTATCCTCTCTGTGATGTCTTATGACCGTTATGTGGCCATCTGTAAGCCTCTGCTCTACAGGGTCATCATGTCACATAGAATATGTTGGGTTCTTGTGGCCTTACCATATCTCTACAGTATATTTGTGTCTCTAATAGTCACCATAAATATTTTTTCTTCATCCTTCTGTGGTTACAATGTCATCAGCCACTTTTACTGCGATGGTCTCCCCTTGTTATCTTTGGTCTGCTCAAATACACATGAAATTGAACTGATAATATTAATCTTATCTGCTGTTAATTTAATATCTTCTCTTCTTGTCATTCTTGTGTCCTACATGCTCATCCTCATAGCCATTCTCAGGATGAAGTCTGCTGAGGGCAGGCGCAAGGCTTTCTCCACCTGTGGGTCCCACCTCACAGTGGTCACCATCTTCTATGGTACCTTGATATTTATGTATGTCCAGCCCAAGTCCAGCCACTCCTTTGATACTGATAAAGTGGCCTCCATCTTTTACACTCTGATTATCCCCATGTTGAATCCCTTAATCTATAGCTTAAGGAACAAAGATGTTATTTATGCCCTTAGAAGGACAGGGGGAAAAGTACACAATATCTTCTTGTAGTGATCACATTGTTGTTGAAGATTATCTTACTTCTACAAATAACAAAGAAGATCTGACATTAGTCTTTGTGGGCCTGATTTATATCACTCAGCATGATATTTTCAGTCTCCTCCATTTTCCTGAAGGTTTCATTTTTCTTTATAGCTGAATAGAAATCCATTGAGTATATGTCTCACATTTTCATTATTCATCTTTTGAAGGACATTTCGGTTATTTCCATTTTCTAGCTACTGTGATTAGAGCCACAATGGCTTCAATTGTAAGATTATCCAAGAAACCAGTGGCTGAGGACCTTACACTTTAGAGAAGCACCTACTACTGCTATTTCCCTAAATCAATGTAATTTCTAGGTATATTTTAAATACTCATTATTATAAGCAGAGATTAAATGTAGTTTTCACCATTCATCAAAGAAGTTTTCTCTACAACAAACAGAGACAGAGTTAAGAGATTTACAAGTGGTCAAATAGTAGAGAAAAAGTAGCTGCGGGGTGTCCGGCCTCACGGATGCACATTCAATGCTGTTCCTATATCTAAGTCCCAAGGAAAATCATGGCGACCAAGTATAAAGACTGTCTGAGCCAGAGGTCCAGGATGCCTGCTGCTAGATACTGTCTTCTAGACTTCTAGGCAGGATAGCTGCATCTATGCGATTTAACAATACATACATAATGACAACACACGTAAACATGTCACCCTGGTTTCAGGAAATTTCACAAGGTCACAGCCCTAGATGAAGATAGATCAGCAATCAAAGGATACTTAAAGAGGCAGTTATTAGCTTTCTCCCAGGACAAGCTTTGAGGAGATGGATCACAAATACAATGACTGATTAAATGTGGTAACACAGAAAAGCTGTTTTAGAGTACAAAGTCCAAATAAAGAGATAACAGTTTTGTGCATTGTATGTGATTACTGAGAACTATGTGTGAATAGGATTTAAATAGTTTAGTGTTTTTGAATACCACAGCACTTTTTCCAGTGCCCATAAGCATGTGTATTTTTTTTGTGCAAATGCATTCTTCTTTTAAAGTACTTATATTTTCAGTGAATTATGTTAAAATCAGACTTGATGTCTATGTCAGGAGGTGAAGGGAATTGCTTTGAAATTAAGGTATGAGTTATAGCAATGAACTCAAATGCTTCTCTTCTGTGGAGTTCCTTTGCCCTTTTGATCTCTTACCTCTGCTCTTATTTTCATGTACAACCTCAGTAGCACTTATTAATGCAGTTCATTTAGTGTTCAAATACTCATAATTTCAGTGAATCGCCAATTTTTGCCTAATTCTGAGCACATTTATATGAGTGAATGAACCAATTATGTTAGATAATTTGAGTTCTCCATGGAAGACTCTATCATGTTACTTTTCTTCTTATTGGGTTAATCTTAATTTATTTCTGCCGATTATTTTCTGTAGTGAATGATCTATGTTTGTTCTATAGATGGAAAAAAACAATTGTTTAAAATTCATACACTAAACTTTGGTTAGTGAGTACAATACGTAGTCTATATATAATTGCAAATGGAAACAGGAAGGATCAGAACTTCAATTTCAGCCTATGCTAACTAGGATGAGGCCAGTCTGGTCTACACAAGGTGATTTACAGAACAAATAGCCAGAAAAAAGTCATAGAGAAATAGATTTATGTTTAGTTTGACAATGAATTTGTGAATATTACACAAAAGCATAACACACACAGTATTTAATCACAATCAAGTTTAAACAAAATGCATCTGAGTAGGAAAGAAAATCATCACCAGAGAGGAAAGATAAAACTAGCAAATATAAATACAATTAATCACACTTTTCTATTCCTGTTGTTAGAGAATGAGCTATGGCCTTTGGAATGCTTAGCAAGCACTTTTCAGTTGAGCCATACCTTCAGCCCTGCAGTACACAATTAATATAGACACTTTATAAACAATATTAAAACTCAATACTTATCTTTGTACTCACAGATAAGTAGAGCTCTCACTCCTCATGGAAGAAACTTTGTTTTACAATAGATTATAGATATAGACTATTACAGAGCTCCACACTGGTCAAAATGCAGAGAATAAATGATGGTGGTTGTTACTCAAGTTGATTTATCTACAATTCAACCCCTTCATTCAAGGCCCAGGGGAAATTGTCCAAGAAAGGCTGCAAAGATGGTTAGAGCCAGAGAACCAGGATACCTTCTGCTGTCTTCTGGAGATGGCAGGGGAGGCTGTACCCAAGACATATCACCAATATGTTTCCCTAAACATGGCCTGCATAATTACAACAATTGAAATGCCAATGTAGTTGGGAAATTTTTCACAAGATCCAACCGTAGATTATGTGTAGTTTTAAGTTTATTGTATATTTAATAATGCTTTTATGTAAATACATCTGTGTAAGGATTATGTAAACAGCAATGCAAGTGCTTACATGGTCTAGAAGAGGATGTCAGATTCCCTGGCACTGGAGTTTCTGGTGGATGTCAGTTGCATGAAGCAGGTATTGAGAACAAAGATTACATCCTCTGCAGGATTAGTATGCATTCTGAAATACTGAGACCAGTTTCTCCAGACCAATAAACCTTATTCAAAGAATATTATTCACTCAGTGATCATCAGGAAGGCCTTACTCTGGGAGCATTAAACTGTTGTTTAGTAGCATATTGTTATATTGCTAATTTTATCCCAGAAGGTAAATGAAAGGAAGTCCCTCTGGGGCCTCTTCTATGGGCTTATCACTGGTAAATAAATGGATGAAAACAATGCAAATCAGACATATTTTAAACTGTTTTCAAAGCTCATGTGCTCTCCACAGGGTAAAGAAAACTAGAATATTTGAAAGATGCTTTGAGAACTAGAATATAACATTTCAAGGTTAATTATTTCATTACTTTCTTGACTATTCTGTGTGAATCACAGGTCTTCATCAGATTCTGATTTATGCAAAGTAATACTTAGGAATTAAAATAATGCTTCCTTAAAATGAAGAAAAATAGGTAATATTGAATTAAATATATTTAGGTAATTAAACCTTCTCTTCAAAAAGTTTATGTTTTTACTACTTTCTTGAATAAAAGTGCTTCAAAGTAAGAACCTGAGTGAATGTAATGAAATTACAGAAATACTTTAATATTTGACATATTAAACTACCTAGTGCTGTGTTTTGATGCACAGCAAGTACAGTCAATAATCTTCTAACATTGTGTTCAACCATGCAATACAGCTGTCACTTTATATTACTACCTTTTTCATCATGTTCATCTAAATACCTGTTTAGGTTTAGCAGTTTGAAACCATGTTTTGCTTTTCTTCCATGTGGTTGTGTATCAGAAGTTCAAGTGCACAATGAAATCATAGCATAGGGGAAACATGGAATAATCCTAAAACAGTGAAATGTGTAGTGCACTTGGTCAGAGGTTATGTATCAGCTCCAGGCTGCAGCAATCATTTTCCGTGAGTATTGCTCTTGAGTGAGTAATGTCATGTGCACAAACGGCTATTTCTGTAAGAAGTACTTTGTAAATTAGCTTTTCTCTTTTGCAAATTAATTACTCTCTGTTATAAGAAGTCCAAGGTTAGTGGCACTTTATATACTCTATTCAATTTGGGTTTATAAAGGTTTAGAAGTTGATGTTATTTGATTCATTTTTTATGAATAGTAGTTATTTTTCTGTTTCAATTCTTTGACCTGTTGATGATAAATGAAACATTCATATTATTATAACTTTTCTTTTTAAAATTTATTTATTGTTTTTCTTTTATGTGCACATGTAGTATTGCCTGCATGTAGGTAAGTGCACCCATGTCGTGCAGTGACCATGGACGTCAGTGGACAGTTGTTAGCTGCCATAATTTTTCTTTATACAGCCACAAGAAATGAATGTGTAAAGATAAAAGCTAGCTGAAATATTACATTAATGGAAAATTTAAGCCCCCTTGTAATGTTGAATTTGTAATTATCATTTCTGTATATTTAAGGAATATTTTATTATTTTTATTTTATGTTTATGACTGTATTGCCTGCATTGCCCATCGGGGTCAGAAGAGGGCATCATAACTTCTGGAACTGTAGTTACAGATGGCTTTTAGCATCATGTGGGTTCTGGGAACTGAACCCAGGTCCTCTGCAAGAGCAGTCTATCCTCTTAACCTCTGAGACATCTCTCCATCCCCCTCCGTGCATATTTTTTTCAAAAGACTAAGCAGTGCACAGTTTTTAATTACTTAAAGATTATTAAAAATGTAGAGAATTGGAAGAAGAAAAAATCATAATTAAAAGTCATAATTTAATAATGACAGGTCTCTACAGAATCAATATCATTCGACATCTCTATAATTAAAATCATATGTATCATAGTTTAGCATGATTTCCTCCAAAGTTAATAGAATTCTTGTAATCTAAATGTCAATGTTCACATTCTTCAGGTGATACTATAGCAAGCCATTCTACACAAATGCTGGCAGATGTAGAATTCTGATTCTAATACTATGGTCTTCTCTGATATAAAATTAAAGTATTTGAATGATAGAACTATTCATTTTTAGCCACACAATTGTGTTTATTGTGATTTCATATAAAAACACCTAAAGCATTCAATCACACATCAATAAACTGACCTGATGATTTAAAACTGATATGATATCTGTAGCTATATGAATATCTGTGTTTTCTACTTGATGCTTAGGTGAGTGGCATCTACACTCAACCAGCCACAGTGCCATAGCATTGTATCTCACTGCTGGAAACTCATGCACTCATAAAATGGATATGATAAGTGATAAGCAGACAGATGTATATAGATGACAGATGATAGATAGATGATAGATAGATGATAGATAGATAGATAGATAGATAGATAGATAGATAGATATAGATAGATAGATAGATAGATGATAAGATAGATAGATAGATGATAGAAAGAGATAGATAGATAGATAGATAGATGATAGATAGATGATAGATAGATAGACGATAGATGATAGATAGATGATAGATAGATAGAAGATAGATACAAAG